TGTGAGATTCAGCAAAGTTGGCACTGACTCTAGACACTTGGACCCAAACCAAGAACAAGGTGCTATTAGGCAGCATCTTATAAAGAATGGCTCACCAGGCAGCAGCAAGCTGTCTTAGTATTATTTTCCTGAATTCACATTCAGCTTGGCAAGTGTCTAGCAGAGCTCCCCCAGCTAGTGAGCCTAATTCAGGTGTCTTCTGCCTAGGAATAGGCCTTTGTGTGACATCTCAGCTCTGCATTCGGTACAGTTCTCACCTGGACCAATCCCACCATTTCAACCTTTCCTAACTTTCTCACCAGAAAATCTTCTGATTTATTTAAATTTTGTTGCACACACTGCTTTTCTCTTCTTCTCAGATGCATTTCCTGCACAACTCCACTGCCAAAATCCTGTCCCACCTTAAATGCTCAATTCAAATGCTGCCTTCCCTGAGAAGCTGTTGCTTATTCCCTCCACCACCTCTCCTTTCCTCAGCTGAAACAACTTTCTCTCTCTCTCCCTGCCTCCTCCCCTGGCTCCCTCTCTCCCCACGGTAACTTGCACTTCTTTCGCAATATCAACTACAAACTGGATTTGTGTAAATATCTTCATTTCCCAGAATGCCTTAAATTCTACAGAGACTGCATTTTGTTAATATCTGTGTGCACTATTTAAAAACACAATGTAAGCACCATAAATTAGTGTTGAATTGAATTGGGATTCACATTTTCAGGAAGGAAAACTGCCAGAGGAGCCACATTTAACCCATTCATTTATTTTCTCTCCTCCTCTGGATTAGGAACAAAGAGTAAATTTTAGTAGTTATCCAAAATGAAAGAAATCATAAAATATGCATAACAGTTGAGATTTAGAGGTGGTTGGGGAAGAATTGCAGATTAAGAAATCATAAGCACATAATCTCAGAAGTAAGGGTTTTCTTATCTTCAATCAAAGCCAAATATTTTACACGATAAAATATTAAAATGAGTATTTCTTAACAGATAGGAATTAATAATAAAGATGATTCACTTTCAACCTTTCGATGAAACAGCAAAACACTCTTGCATAAAGCCTTTAGCTAAGATCTGGCATCCTTACCTATTTACAACTGTGTGAGCACCTGTTATCTTTTATTATTCATTTTGTCCATTTTAACCTTGTATGTAGGTTACAGCTAAAAGATATTGTTAGTTTTTCTATAGGTTCATAAGAGCAGTTTGGACATTTTTTCGCTTGTGTAATTATTGAGTGAGACATCACTACCTCTGTAATTGATCTATAAACATGAAGACATTTGAAATTATATATAAACATGAACACAATACAGAAAGACAGATAAGGAAATACTATGTAATAGGTGATACTCAAAAAGGATTATGGAATAAAAATAAATAAGAGACTAGTCACATTCAAGAGACTAGATAAATATTATAATAGGTTTAATACTTTAAAAGGATGTAGACTAAAATCTGACTTTAAAAATAAAAAGTAAAATCAAAAGTTCAAAAACCTTATCTCTAGCCAAATTATTATATTGAAGATATAGTCTTTCAGTTGCAAAAGAGAAAATAATATTGCAATATGATTTAACTTGCTAAAAATATAATATTAAGATATTCCACGAATCAGTAGAACGAGTGTACAACATCTCACCTACTTGAATTTAGATTTCCAAAATATAAAATAGCTAATTATTGTGAAAAGAACATTAAAATTTATTTCTGGATCTCTTGAGAATAAAGTTGTTTTTTTGTCAATTGTAAAAAGAGATATTAAACAATGTATTATTAACAAGTTAACGTAAGGCAGAATCAGAACAACCTCATTAACTAGCCTGGAAATGACTTTAGTAACCATTGCAATCTTGTATTTTTATGCACTCTTTGAGAAAGTGGTTGACACAATATTTTATCCAATGAGACTGAGGCAGGTAATACATTTTTTAAATGTATTTTTTATTTCTGAGCCATATTATTACTGCTTAAATTCCCCCTCTCCTTAAGTTGGTGATACTGGCTCTTGAAATTATTTGACTCTCATACCTCTATGTATGCATATTAATTCAGATGCATGGATGTAATAGTTCAAAGTCTCCAAAAAATTTGCTCAATATTGCTAAAATTTATGTAATTATTTTCTAGGAAGCCCATTGGTAATCCTATTACTTTAGTATATGCACAATTTAATGATATAAAGGAATTCAATAAATTCTATATGATTGCTTTTAGGTAAGAATATATCAAGTTTATGCAAAAATAATGTTTCATAATATTCTTTTAGAATAGTTTGGAGAATATTATGCCAGTGTTGTAAAACACTTATAGATGGCAATTTAAGAAGTTGAGGGCAATATTTAAGAAAGCACAATCCTTATATATTTTTTAGTTTTTTAGAAACTGCAATCCCTATTCTCTGCTTTTAGAATTAGTTAATATTGCTATGAACTATTAACAGAGACAATCTAAATTCTGTGATATGATTGTCAACTTAAAATTTTTATTTATTTATTTTTAGAGAGAGGGAAAGGGAGGGAGAAAGACAGATATATCGATAAATTGACCCTCACACAACTCCCACGTGGGACCTGGCCCACAACTGAGGCATGTGCCCTGGCGGGGGGCTGAACCAACATACCTTCGGTTTGTTTGCAGGCTGACGCTCAGTCTTTTGAGACACACCAGCCAGGGCTGGTATTACTATCAGTTTAAAGGGGAAGGAATATAACTGGCATAAGAGAACTTTTCAGATGATAAATTTAAGATACTAGGCAAGCAGGGTATTAGACAGGAAAAGATTTGAAGAATTCACAAAATCTGAAATAGGAACTGGACTTTTAGTTCAAGCATGGTCTTAAGGTTTCCTAACTTATCACCCTTAAGTGCATTTGCCTTTTTTGAGCTTCCAAATCTGTAACTTTGTCCTGTCTTATAAGTTTGTGAAAATGTTCTGTAAATTGGAAAGATGTCTACAAACATAATTTATCAGGATTAATTTATGTTTGTGTAACTGGTCTTTTAGTTGGCTTGCCTGGTGATGAAAATTCTTAGGGAAGTAAGCAACAATTTTTATGTAAGTCAAGCTAAACAACAATATTTTCAACAAAATTTTAGAACCTGTATAAAGTTTATAAAAAGAGGGTTCTGGATTTAGTTCTGTTTGTTTTTTAACAATCTTGAGAAATATTATGAAATAATTGGATTGAGTAATATAACTTTAGGACACTAGACTTTTAAGTACAAACCATAATCAAAATTTAGTTTATTGAAATGCTACAAATAATTGAATGTGCATAAAAAGGAATGGAACAAATAAATTATTTTTTCTCAAAGTGAAGTGTTTCATTTGTAAGACAAAAGTAGAATAGCTATCTTGATCTAAAGGATGATATAAATCAGCATAATACACAATTTGTAAAAGTCCTCCTTAATTCATGTTTCTATGATACTCATTACCATTTAAAAATAGCTTGCAAAAATCTGAGTAATTTTTTACCACTTTTTCTAAAATACTAAAATGGCAGAGTAGTGAAAGAACTGCACTCTCTTTTAAGAATATTGAGAATTGACTCCCTAACGTACAATGGGTTGTCCAATATTAGTGTCTAAAATGAGCAGAAAGTGTTACAGTTCCTTGGTGAACCATGTGCATCCATCTCTGAAAGCACATGAGTTTAGGGAAGTTTGGTTAACTTGCTGATTTGTTTGTGGGTGCCGTACTGATGAACTTTAAAACTGGGTTCTCTTCATCTTTTACAAAGAATTGTCTATAATGATTGAATTAATTGTACTTGTATATTTAAGAAAAAAACACAATGGAAGGGTTTTTAATAGTTCATTGACATGGAGTAAGCATGTTAAACATGTTCCATTCATGACCAACTCCTGATTTGTGGCATGGCCAGGCAGGGTTCTTTACCTGAGCAACTCGGGCTCCCACAACCCTGTCAGAATGTGAATCGATGAATGGTTTGCTCTTGCCTTGCACTTGAATGTAGTGAATGACATGGTAAGCATGTGGATTTGGCTCTTCTTAAGAATAAAATTATTCACATTCTAAAAAAAGTAATAATGTTATGACAACATGAGGTCAATTCCTATTTTAGTGTGTATCACCTAGACACAAACTCTAAGTTATCCGAGGGTAAAATGTAATTTGGGTAGTTTTTTGTTCTTTAGGATCCTTGTGAAGCATGTGACACTTAAGTGCTGCTCAAAACAAATAAACGAGGAGAAGACTGAGCAGGTAAGCTATTTAGTCTATCCCAGCAACTCGAAAACACTTTACCCGATATGATTTATGCTTTCAGAAATAAAGTAAAATTAAAGGGAAAAATCTAAAAGAGCAAAATATTACATTGTTGCGTAACTTACAAGATGCCACTACTGAGAGTGAGGTTTGAGGAGTAACAGGAAAATGCAAACAATGAAATCCAACCGATAAACAATAACATTCATTAGAACTTCCCCATTTGTCTCTCTCACCAGCCTGTCGGCCACACCTCACCTCTATGTACTCTTTTCTCCTGGGCACAGCAGTCCAGGGCAAGGCTTACTATTTTAACTTGCCATGATAAGCATGCATTTATTTTAAAATGCCACTTATAAACATATACTTTTATAAGTCATGTAAGATTATGGAAGGGCTTATAAAATGACTTTTCTGAAGTCCTTTAGTATCTTTTTTTAACCAAATTATCTCCAGTTATAAATATTAAATGCCACGAATATCTTTAGGCTATGAATCTCTGGTAGTTATTTGACTAGCCAACTTATCTGGACTCTCTGAATGATTGTTAACCCATTTCTGTGAGAATCTAGTGACATTATATTTACATTTTTTAAAATCTTATTTAACTGACAAACACATAACTAGCAAAAACCATCATGATGCTACAGTTACTTTCCAAAACAATTATGAACAGGGTCTCTGTGGTACATCATGGGTAACACATTACTTGTGTGTTAATGAATTCAAGGGAATGCAATGCCACAATTAGTAATAGTTTTTTATTTGGAGTCCTCATTTTCCAGATAGGTCACATTAAACATAGCCATTAAACAATAGCATTGTGATAAATCCATACAATGTATGCTGCTTTTGTTGTTGTCCTTGTTCACCAATCACTTGGTGCAGCTAAGAACCTTACGTTGTGATGGAGCTGATGTATGGTAATAGCCAACCTGCAAAAACTGGGGCCGGGAAAATCAGACATTAATCAGGTCTCGTTCAATTATGTTTCAAAACAACACATCGTGATAGCCAAACTCTCATTGGAATTAATGTTCTGATAAATGCTGTCTGTTGTCAAAATAATGTAATTAGACAATAATGAGTGGCATATATTATGCCAGACCTCAGTTTACCTGTTGACCTCAGCAACTTTTACTCCATTAGGCAACAGATTTTAACCTGGTTCTAATAAAGCATACTGCTCTATTACTACATGGCATTATTTTTATGATGTCCTTTTTGCAGTCGAGCAGTGCCTAGATCTGTTAAAGGAAGCCATGTTTTACAAGATCTCAGCTAATTTAGGAAAACAAAACAAGTCAATTTCCCAACCAGGAACTCAATTAATTTATTAGAGTGATGAGCCAATCTTTGTATATTGCCTGCAATAAGGATAAGTATGTCAGGTTCAGAAATAATATGAAAGCACTGTTTGAAATTGCATGAAATGTCTCTTCAATGTTTACTTTGGTATAGGTATAACTAACACTGATTCTTACTGCTTTTCACTATGATGAAAAGATCTTTCATCATTAACATGTAATGAAAAGATAGTTTTGTTACTGATTTATTTTCAGTTCATCAGTAAACATTTTTTAGAACTTTGACTTTCTTTACAAAGATTTCTATAAATTCTTTTCTGTGCTTGACTTCAGTTATTTAAAGACCTAAAAGAAAAAGTATCAAATTATTCATTTTGAATGTGTGGCAGCTTTTTTAAGGGGTTTGTGAATGAAGGTTGTGAATTAAGACAATTTTTGCACATTCTGAATTATGCTTAAACCCCTTGAAACATCTCTTTTGATCATTTATCACCCCTTAGAGCACGTTGCTTCCAAAAAGGATGATTTTGGAATGTCATAAATTTCCATGGAAGCCAAGCAGCAGAGGTCTGTGATAAAGGCAGTTGCCAGCCAAATGAATAAAAACGAGATTCCCTCAATGCAACTATAAAAGCTTAGAGTTCTGACTGCTGAATTACCACCAACTTGTAAATAAATAATCACTACTAAATACAGATAATGTGTTAAACAGCTAACACTAGTAAATCACTGGTGACAGGGAGCCTAAAGGTACATCCCTCACACATTGGCACAACCAATTCTTAAAATCTTATAGTGTTTTAAAATCTTCAGACACATATACTAAATTGAACAACTGGTTACTCAAAGTTAAGAATGTTTTAAAAATAAACCCTACTCTCTTTGTTGATTTCACTTATATACTGCCTTAGATTGTACTAAGTGGCTATATGTCCAGTAAGAGAGAGGCAACACTTGGTAAAACTAAACAGAAATTGGTCCCCCATCAAATTTCTGCTAAATCAACCTATAGTCTCCTGGCAAAAAATAACATCATATAACAGAGACAACACATTTCAGATACATAAATTGTCCAAAATATAGAGAGTCAATTATGTTTCACTGTACAAGACCCCTTCTTTTCTAATTTAAACATTTAAGAATAATAAAAAAACAAGAGTAGAGCTTTGGAAAGGCTGTTACTAGGAACCAAATACAGTTCTTGAGAGAATAAGGCTGATGGGAGTTGTCCACTCTTCCTTTCAAAGCAGTTTTTCAAACGAGGTACAATCTAAAGTATTGACAGCATTCGACGGAAATATTTTCAGTTGAATTTGTTGATGTTTAAAATTGCAAAACTTAATTCAGTTCAATGTTTGTATTTGCTTTTGTTTTTGTTTTTAATATAAGGATTTTATGACATTTATGCTGTTTCTACACTGGCTGGGTGGCCAGAAAAGAAGGCACAGAATTCTCCACCAGTTTGCAAATAATGCATTTTCTGCTCCAGTGCACAAACAGCCTTTATTTAACTCAGCACCACATTTTCTAAGGTATGGGCTGGAAGCTGTTTATCACGAAGCTGTAAAATGCCAAAAAATTTTAACACTGAAGGAATATGTCAATCAAGGCATTTTCCCATCTGCTACTACTTCTGCAAGTGCTAATTTTGTTTTTCCCAATTCCTGAAATTTGAGGTTTCCTAGCCTCATATGGAAGTAAGGTTGAAACTTGCTATATGACACAAGAAAAACGTGCAACAAAATGAAGGAATAGAAGGTGTATTGTTCTCAAAGGTCACCAATAAAAAAGATGTAGCTTGGACTACTGCAAGACCTCTTGGGGACTTTCAGTAGAAGCATTTGATGATTGCTAGAAATACACCACAGATAGCAATAAGAAGAGCATTGAGAAAAATGAAAAACATCCTGTTAAGACCTAGACTTCTTGAAAAACACTACACAATGCAAGTAACTAGGGCTGGTACCACACATGCATTAAAGCATTTTTCATGGTTTTGAAATAAATGGGAACACACATATTAAACCACATAAGATACTTTTGAGAACCAATCAACAGCATGATATCTACATAGGCAGAAACTTTATGTTATTGAGAAAACATGAGAAGTTTCAGGTATTGGTACAAATGTAGTTCTTGAGATTTAGCATGACTTTAATAAAAGCTTCTACAAGGACTTGCACATAACCATGACTGACGGATGTATTTTTTTGACCTTTCAGATAGCTCCATCGGCTCACTCAAACACATTTTGAACAGATTATGTACTGTAGTACTTGGTAGACTATACATTAAACAAGAGACTTTGCTCTGAGGCACTGCTTCCCACACTCCATGTGGAAAAGGAAGCAGGAAAAAACAAAACTCATAGAGTTCGACAGCTACCGAGGCAACACTTGCCATTTACAATATAAGCCCAAATATTTTTGCAACACAACTATATATTAATTTAATAAAATACACAATATAGCTCTTAAACACTCAACAATTTGGCTCATATGCACTGAATCTGCAATAAATCAATAAAAATATGTCATTTGATGTAAACACATTGAATCTTCTTACATTTGCACATTTAAATGGTCATGTGATTTGTGTATGTCTAAGACATTTTCATTTTCCTGAGCTATTTTAGTGTCCACAAATGAATAAAACATATTAATCATATTAATTTTCTCTGAATGTTATTACTGAATGGTAATTATTTTTCAGAATCTTTGCAGATAAAATTAAAAACATATCCAGCATTATTTATATGTTTGTTGGACACTAAAATGCTGAAGAGGCATTTTTAAATCTTTAAATTTTCTTCTTTAATGAAGTGAATTAGCCTATGTGTGCGCAGGACAAAATGGACTATATTTTTTTACACTTAACTTTTTTACGACATGACATGTCTTACAAATGACCAAGTATTTTTTTAAATTTTCAACTAATGTTATGGAATGCTCTTTGTGTTTATATGTGTGGCAGGTAACTTTATACAGAAATGTTTACCACAAATATGTGTTAATGTTTGGTGTAGCTTGGACTACTGCAAGGTCTTTTCGGGATTTTCAGTAGAAACCTGTGATAACTGCTAGAAATCCACCACAGATCACAAATTATGACCCTGCTTTGATTGGGGTTTATAGGTAAACAGTTAAGTCAGCATAAATCACAGAGGACAGTCTCAGAGTGATCAGAAATATGTCAATTCTCACACCGCATACCTTCCTAACAGATTGTCAAAAGGTAACTTGCCTCCTCATCCTCCTTTTTCTTCTCTCCTTTTTTCTTCTCTGTTTCTCTTTACTCTTTGAGAATCATTAATTCTGTCCTAATGTAAGTTTGGTCAAAACAAAACCATTGTTATCTCTGAAAAAGAAATAGCAGTGAAAAGAACATACTTGTGTGGGCACTTCAGATGTTCACTCAAAGCCTTAAAGCAGCATTGGTCTCTCTTCATCCCCATAAACCAGGTTGTCACCAGGAGGGACCATTTTTAAATCAAAGAAGAGACAAGAAATTGCCAATGCTCCCCACCCTCACTTTCTCACAGCCACAGGGTCATTTCCCCGGCAGTCCTGCAAAAGCTTGTCAATTTCTCTCACAACTTCCTCTGCATCCACTGACTCTCTGCCCAGATCCCTGCTGGGGTGGTCAAGCTGCTCCAGAACAGCACCCATCTCGCTGGAATCCCGGCTGGCTCTGGAATGCACATCTGCGAAGACCCTTGCCATCTGATCGGAAGCCATGAAGGGGGGGTCTCTTGGTTGCTTACTGGGCGACACATACTGACTGTCAGTGGGCAAGTACTGGCTGCTTGCTTCGGCCAGGGCTCCTGGTTTTGCTTCACAACCATCCAGAGAGCCTTTTGTTGAGGTGCAAGGCTCCATGCATGCCTTGGTTGGACTGCTTGATGCTGAGGGGACCTCTTGGAGGAGAGGGCTCAGGGCACGTTTGGCTTTTAAATAAGGTTTAACATTGGCAATGAGAATAGTGTGCTCTCGCTTGTCTTTTCCGAATGTACAAAAAGTCTTTTTCCCAGTGGGATTCACAGTTTCGTAAGTCTCAGTCTCAACATTAGCTTCAACTGTGGGTACAAAGAGATTTGTGCGGTAATCTGCATTTTCAGCCTGATTGGCTGCAGGGAACTGTGGCATCCAACACCTGTCAGAATGACCAAGCACTCGGCATTCCTCTGTGCAATTAACACACTCTTCTGGTTCTGCAAAACAAAAGAGAAAACAGCAAATCCAATCATTAGGGTTGCTTTTACATTTCTACCAAGGCTGTGCTCAGCTCTCAGTGGACTTGCTTGACCTCTGGTCTCTTAATTAAAAAAGGAAAAGAAAACAATAATTAAAACATTTCAGGATGGTTGCATAAACCTGCTGGTTGAGACAATGGTTTTATTTAAGTCTATTCTCTAGATATTAACAAATTCCCATAGCCTGAGAAGAAGTAAAAAGTGGCCATTGGAGAATCATTCTCAGTGGAATAGAAGATCACTGTAAACTAATTTTCTGGGGATATTCAGCTAGTCTTTGTTCTGTATAACCCTTCTTGGAAATAGTGCACTTCAAAAAGGATTAGCAGGATTAATTTTTCAAGTCAAACAACAGGACAAAAACTGGATTGCAAACTTCTATAACGAGTCCTAAGCTTGCCTTAAAAATATTCTATCCCTATTTTGCTCGTAATTGTTATTTCTGTGACAGTCCTAAAATAAAAGGTTTCCTTTAAAAGTCTGCTTTTCCTACTGAAAGTAGCAAATAAAATTTTGTGTCAGAATGTGTTATGAAAAAGCTTGTCAAAAAGTGCACATTCCTATTTTATTAGATATGGGTATGTATCATGTCATCAGTTTTCTTTAGCATTTTTGTTTGTGGTATAAGTAGGTGGAAATGGATTTAGTCAAAATATATAGTTCAGAATGAATGACAAATCATGATCTCTATTTTAAATGATAATGCTTTTTGTGAGAATTTTTGCTTCTCTTTTTTGCCAATAGGCATTTAGTGACTCTAAATAAAGTATTCTTTAATGATCCCTATTTCAAAGATGCTGAATAAGAAAATATGAAAGAAAAATCTCTCATTGTGACAACAGCTGCATACTCCCATGACCCCAATATTTTAAAATATAACTTTAAACTACATCTTCCTAGTTCTCCTTTACATTTACAAATAGCCCTTTTAACGTCTAATGTTCCTTTTTAAGTCAGGGATTTTTTTTCCAGGAGAGGATATTTACGATTTACCTGTGTGTGATGGGAATAGAATTCCCTACACATTTAGAAACCCCTAGGATTGGATTTTCCCCTTCCCCTTGGGATGCGGGAAGATCCCTGCAAATTTACAGTGTCATGTGTAAGGAAAAAAAAAGTTCATGTAAAAGATATTTAAAATATGAAGCAGCAAATTTAGTAGCTTTGATAAATTTATACAGTTACTTTACAAAGTCATAAATAAAATGTGTTCATATTTAAAACACATAAATAAAACACATTCCCTCTCCAACAAAGAAAAAATAAATCTGATTTATCTCAGGAGGTTTTAGGATAAAATAATTTCCCAGGAGACTAATATTTTTTAGAAAGTTATCAAAATGGTGTCTTGACAGAACAAAAATATTACGGTATTTCATTTGCATGTATCACTCACACTTGTGAAATATTTAGAAAGTATTTAGGTAACTTGCCTATATTTCAGTTCTTTTCATGCTTTCAAAAGTATACTTACCTGTGAGTAAATAGACTGTATTAAATTTTATTATGTTATATAGGCAAGAATGCTGAAGTGTATCCAACAGAACTTTCACCCAAATATTCAAATGTTATCTGTCTTGAAAATTGTTAAACAAATGGACACAAACAGAAGCAGAAGAATCGAGGCACAAAAGATTTTCTAGGAAGCCTTCCTGTATAAACTTAACGTGAATTTTTAAAAATCCATGAAAGTTTAATATCTGGTATCTATTTTATTTACCTACTCTGAATAGGAATCATAAAAATGACCTCCATATCTGTGTTAGTAGGTGTTAGAAAAATGTATATCATTTCGCTCATCCAATTTTGTCCTTCAAAAATACAGAACACTTCAATATCTATTTCACTTGGTGATACTTTTGAATCTTTTAGAGCTGAAATTTTTTAAAAAATCATTTACAAATCATATGCTGTCTTTGAAACACACTGACATAGTTTTATATTCCAATCCTGACTGGCCTTCAATTTCAGCCATTTGGATAGCTTAGCACTGAATACATTCGATATGAATTTAAGAAGAAAGTAAAAGTGATAGAATAATGCAGATACATGAAAGTGCAAATCGACCTTGAATTTGAAACCATCAATATAAAATGATTGTTTGCACTTTACTGCTGAAAATCTGCAGCTTTTTACTTGACTCCTTTATGTTACATCCTAGGGAGCAAATTCTGAGTATTGATTATGATACATTATAAGCTGTTCACCTTGCGATTAGACTGTAATTTTGATGGCAGCAGTTCACAGACAGTGAAGAAAATCAAATGGACACTTAGGTACATGCAGCTGAAACTATGAGCATAAACTGAACAATAACTGCCAAGCATCAAATGAGAATTTATGAGAGTGAAATTATTTCTTAAGTAGCATATGCAAATGAATAAGTAGGTAGGTATATAAAGGAAACAAAGGTAGTATTTAATGAATGACAAGCCAGACATAAAAAATGGAAGAAAAAGAGGGAAGTAGGAAAGGTAAGTGAAGGGAAAGAGGAAAGAGTAAGCAGGAGTGGTTTAATAAAGGGAGTTGTATTAGGAGGATTTCTGTCATGTGTATCTTTTGTTATATATTTTCAAATCCCCTCAATAACCCATGTGTGTATAATAAAATATAATAGTGTGGAATGTTTGCTCAAGCCCTAGAGCTATAAAGCCCTAGATAAACTTCTGCACCTTAGAGAAAATGGATCCCAGAATAGATATGTTGAATTAAAAGCTATAATATTTTTTAAAAAGCAAATTATGGAGACCACCAAATTATGGAGATTATGATAAATTATTGTATCAGAAAACAAATATCTGTATCAGAAAATAGATTCAGAGACCCCAGACAGGAAAGTCAAAGTAAGATATAGTTGATCCAAGATTTATTTTTGCCTTCTAGACCAATCTGGGATTACAAGAAAATTATTTACCTTTATTTTTATTCTTTCCTTAATATAACATGATATAATGCTTCATCAAAATTCACCCTCTGCCAGAAAGATGAGATGGGATAGTCCAAATGGTATGCATATGGGAAACACTGAGAGATAAGCATGTTCAGATTACAAAGCGAATACCATTTTGAAGTCCAACAGCTAGAAAGTTGGATAGTTTTGCCCACAGAAAACGTTTATAGTGTTCAGATTTTTAAATGTATGATTCTGTGAAGGCTCATGCAACAATCAGATAAAATTAATACTTGTTCAGTGTTAAAAATCATTTTATATACACCTGTAGATCCATCCAACTATTACACCAGCTCCCAGAGGGAGGGACCTAAAAACAGTCATCCTAATTGGTTCAGTGTTGCATCTTAATTTATGATATTTTTTCAAATGATATAAAATCATTCAGATGACTACACTACTGCAGTTCAGTTGTACCACACACACACACACACACACACACACACACACATAGATCTTTATTTGTGTGTGTGTGATAAAATTGAGCTTTCTCCAGGATATAGTCCAGACAAAACTTAAAAACTCAAATACATAGCCAGTGCATTCCTCATAATTAGCTTTCAGCAACTGTTGTAAGTGAAGTACAGGTGAATCAATAAAAAACACAGGAAAATTCTATATTCATAATATAAAAAAACATAAATATATATATAAAATATGCAAAACTATATACATATAGCTTTTTACTTAAAATCTATGATTGGATCAATAACTATCTCTGATTTTAGAATTTTATACAATGCAAATTAATTTAGACATAAAGATATTTGAAATCTGCATATTTACATTGGATAACATATCTTAAAAGTTTCTCTTTTCTTTGAACATAGATGAAATAGTTTAATAAATTAATCTTAGAGATAGTAAGTAAGCAATTATTCTGTGCCAAATATATCTTCAAAAGAACTGTCATTGTGTATGTAAGGAAAAATATTTAAGCAACTTATCAAATTATCCTCTCTTAAATTAGATTTTAGCAATCATACCTAAAGGTTACCATAGTAAATGTTTATGGTGTGATTTTAATATGGTAATGCAGCTGTGTCATTAGGAATGCATGGCCATTTCAACAATGGTAATAGGTACTGTGGAGAGCAGTATGTGAAGCATGTGCAGTACAGCAATGACCCAGAGAAATAATTCAGACCCTCAGCATGCACAACACAGTGTGGCAGCCAACATGTTCTTATCTTAAGGGTAACAGCACCCTCTCCGAGCATGTGCAGGAGAATGACATATACCACATTGCCTAATAAAAGTTGTGCAAAATAACATGTGCCTGTCAGAATGGACAGAGATGGGTGCCTATCAAAGCTGCTGCATATAGCATGTGCCAAACAAGAGTGAAGGACACAACGTGTGCTTATCTAAATTAAGAAAATATATTTATAAGAAATGGTGCAAAATCAACATGATTTTGCAACAAAGGAAGCATAAAAGCAAAAGACATCAGACCATGGATGATGGTGCCCATCCCTTTGACTCTGCCTTGCAAGACACTGCCATCCAGCCCTGTTGCCTTCCAGACCTGGACTGGATCTGGACTCTTGGGACTGAGGTTTATTATGCCCCAATTATCTTGTGTGATATTGTTACTGTAGGGCTAAGGGTCTTACAGGCAGGCAGCCAGTAATTTCAGTTCCTAAAGTCCTAGTCAGAAGACCTTAGCAGGGATTATTCCCTAAGAATCTTGAAACACCAATTCAAAAGAGCATATACACCCCACTGTTCATAAAAGCACAATTTACAATACCCAAGTGCTGGAAGCAACATAAATGCCCAACAGTAAATGAGTAGATCAAAAAACTATGGTACATTTACACAATGGAATTCTATGCCGCAGAAAGAAAGAAGGAGCGCCTACCCTCTGCAACAGCATGGATGGAACTGGAGAGCATTATGCTAAGTGGAATAAGCCAGGCAGTGAAAGACAAATACCATATGATCTCACCTTTAAGTGGAACCTAATAAACAAAACAAAAAAGCAAACAACATATAACCAGAGACA